ACAAATTGTTATATAAGCAATTATAATTTACCGTAATAATTTGTTCACGGGTGACTTTCGTGACTTTGTTCACGGGTGTTCTATTGGAGTTTCGACCGTAATAATTTACCAATCAATTATATTCTAGTTTCAAAATTTTACCTAGCTAGCAATTATAATTTACTAATACCAGCTTGTTACTTATTTATGTTAATTTANAAAAAAAAAAAAAAGTACCAATCAATTATAGTCTAGTTTCAAAATTTTACCTAGCTAGCAGTTATCATTAACTAGTGACAACTTGTTACAAATTTATAGTATGCGCTACTTGTGACGATCAAATTAATTATCAAAATTTACCTAGTAGTTTGAGCCTTTAATTAATAGTGATTTTACGAAATTTAACTTATTCGGAATGAATTTTCAAAAGTTGCTTATCAACATATTTTACCTATTTTCTGTACTTTATCAACCACGAAATCTCAAGTGAGCTGATCAATTTTCGGCCAGAGGTCAGTCAACACCAAGACTCAAGGACGAGGGATTATCAGGTTAATCAGAAGGCAAACCGGTTCACCAACAGGTCGAGCTAGAACTGTAGGATAGTTTTATGGAAACTCGACCTGCAAGTGAAGAGGTTGATGGTAGACCTAAAAGGCAGAATTTCTCAGTGAATACTCGACCTGCAAGGACTTTTTTTGTATTAAATAATAACTATGCGATAAATATGCGTGAGAATATGTATCACGTAATAATCACATAGTACAAATTACTAAAAATAAAAACTTTAATTTTTTGATTAATTATGCATTGAAATTTTGCGTAATAATCATATAGATTAATAAACATAAAAATAATGGTTCTGCGGATGCACATTTTTAGTAAAATAAATATAATAATTTTGCGATTCAATATTTCTATCACTTTAGCGGTCTGTCGTAGTGTATTTGAAACGCTTCTACTTTTCTTTTTGTATTACATTACTACTAGTACAATATCCGTGTACTACACGGGTACTTGTTAAGAAAATAATATTTAAAATTAAATAATAACAACAAAAAATTTTTGATTTCAAAGTTTGCGAGTCTGCCACTTAGCCTCAGCACGTTTTGAATTAACTGTTGAATAATAATCGTGGAACTATGGAGTAATAATATGCGTCAGAAATCTGTCAAATAATAATCGTAGAACTCCTATTCCTATCACTGTGGCAGTCTCTATCGTAGCGTGTATATATCCTTCGCAGTATAATCACATATTTCAATTTACCATTTTAAAAAGAATCGAATAAAGAATCACATTTATGAGGCCAATCAGTCAATATTTTTTTTAATAACAATAATAAATGCATCGCAATTTCGTCGCGAAACACTCGCATAATGACTAGCATTTTCGTGGCAAATCGTCATTCAAACATCCGTTTCTGCATGAATACTACAAATACTACATAAATTATTATGAGACAACTTGAAACGTCACGTATCAGTAGAAATATTAAATGAATCAAGTCTATAAAATGTCATCCACACCCTTATCACTATGTATAAAAAAAAAAATAATAATAATAATAAAGTGAGTGTATTTTATAATTTTCATGGTTATGATTGTCTACCTTCGAATCCCAATAGCAGGTTCATGCATTAATTTCATGGTTCTCGTCTTTGATCAACATATGCTCGATCAGTTCATACAAGTCGACATCTTTATCGTTTTTCATCAGGTTCCTTTGGTTGTTCATCTCGACATGGCACACGATCCTCCGCCTCATTGCTTTGAGGATTTCTATTCTTAGAAACTTTGGCCGCACTTCATTCAAGATGTTGAAAACTCCCTTCACGTGATTTTGGTCCAACGTTCCTGAGAGGATGATCTTTCTAGGGCTTACACGGAAAGTTGAAAATTGAGAAAAATTTGAAAAAAATGTAAAATAGGTGCAAGAAGTTGATCTGCAACTAAAATGCGACAGACCCGCAGTTGACCGAACTGTTCAAATAATTCTCTGCATATTCGTCCCATATTTTATTACATAATTTTTACGCACTTCCTCAATTAACTTCGTCTATTTGTCACTTTATCGTATAATGAAATCGCACTTGCTCAATTATCTTTACTTTTATGTAGCATAGTTTACTGTATAATTATTTTGCACTTGCTTAGTTGACTTCGTTTGTCAGTTGCATAGTTTTTAGAATAATTTATTTTGCTAACTTGGCGAAGTGAAAAAGTTTATTAATTGGCATTGTAAAAATACTTGGTCAATATTTATAGCGGAATGCAAATAGCTATTTTATCTAAATTTAAATGCAACCTATCAATAAGAAAACGATATTTTAGAAGGATAATTATTTTGTATAATTAACATATCTTGAGTTATTAACGTATGACGTTCAAAGTAATTATTGTTTTTCTAAAAGTGCGTCATAACTAATAAAGTAATTTTTATTCACTTATTACCATGTAGGTGGAAGTTTTATTTTATTTTTATTATTTTTACAAAGGGGCTAAGTTTAAGAATTTAACTAAAAATAGCGATCTAATTATATATGTATATATAAGAAAAATAATTAGTTGTGAAAGAAGATTATGAAGTTCTTATAAATGATGAATGTTCGACCTATCTATGACTGCAGTGTAGTTACCGTGTTTTCCATTGTTGGATTGATATACATATATCCACATGAATGTGTTTGTTTCAATCCAACAATAATAAAAAAATAAAAATAAAAAAAACTCTGATGATTAAGCTAATAATTGAGTGAAATCTACCTTAAATGACACTAGATCCAAAAGCTATGTCATCTATTACTATATAATACGGAGAAGAAAAATTATTTGAACAATCCGAAAATAATCATTTCGTTTTCCCGCTTCAATATATTGTTTTTCCCGCTTCTTCAATTCGTAAATTTTTTTTTTGAATTTTTTCAGCACATGCAATTAGATAACCAATCAAATCGAATCTTTCATCATTCAATTTGGTAAGGTGTTCCGATTTTAGCATTCAAATCCGATTTCACTTCATTTTTTTATGCCAATCAATCCGATTTTTTTGGTTATTTCAAAATTTGTTTAGATTTATATTTTTATTTTATTAATGTATTTGAAAGAGAATCAATAAATGTTTATCATAACTTTTATTTTAAGAATAAATTTGAATAAGCATACCTTTTACTTTATATGAAATTCAAAATTACATATTTTAATATATTAATAAACGTTTATTATTTATTTTTTCCTTATGTGATATAATAGAATTTCGGTATTAAATTTGTAAATTCAAACATTTAAAGGAAAAGATTCCAAACAATTTTTTTGGGTAAATTTCATTTTATCTTGGTTTTCATTATCACATTTCTAACAAACTAATTAGTATTATATTTTTTTATCTACATTATCTAACCGATTTTTTATGATACAATTAATATAATATCTTAACAAATTAATCATTTGTCTAACCGGATTTATCTCTCTAACAAACTTGCAAATTTTTTTAAAATTAAAATGGTATGATTATTCTTATGGAGATACTTATCAACATATTAAATATTTAGAAACTTTTTTAAAAAATGAATTATCCCTCCTTTTACTTTATTTGAAATTCTGACTTATATTTTTAAATATATTATTATTTAATTTTTCTACATGTAAATATTTATTATTTATTATCTAAGTGATAAATATTATTGATTTATCTCTTTAATAAATATTTATTATTTATTTTTTTCCTTACGTGATATAATGTAAATTTGGTTACTAGATTTTAAATTCAAACATTTAGGAAAAAACCACGAACAAATTTTTTGATTAAATTTAATTTTATTTTAACTTCCATATAATCACAATCCTAACAAACTAATTAGTATAATATTTTTTTACCCATTTTTATATAATCGGATTTCTTAAAATATAATTAATATAACATTTTAACTATTTAATCATTTGTATAACTTGATTTAACTCATTATCAAACTTGCCAATTTTTTATTGAAATTAAAAAAAATTTGGAAGATTTTTATTTGTAAAATAATAAAAAATAGCTTTACTTTAAAGTCTGGATTGTTTCCATTATTTTTTGTACGTTAACAATCATATATTTTGGATTATTGATTTAAAAAAACAAATCAAAACCGTAAGGTTTAATAATATTCCTTAAATAAAAAATATTGTATAAAGAAAAGTATTTAATATTATATATTTTTCATTGATTGTATTTATTTTATTTTCATAATAGACGAGATGTGAAAAATATAAATAATTATATTTAAAATAAAGTCTAAAAAATGTTTAAAATATTAACTCTTCCGTGCATTGCACGGGATATACACTAGTTTATATTAAATCATAACACCACTTAATCGTTAGGCGGGCTGTATGTCATGCTTTATGAATAAAAATACATACAAATATTATCAGATGTCATATTCATTTCGTGTTTCGATTTATAATGATATTTAAAATATAACTGTTTTGTAATGATAGTCTCCATATTTATGAAAATAGTATGTCGATTTCATAATTAGGCAGGACCTAACACAAGATCAGTCATAAATCATATGCTCTCAATTTACCATAAAACTAGTAATTATCAACTACTAATCTAAGTCTTGCACTATAAATTCGTTGGATATATACAAACAAATTTAGCAATAAGAAAACGGGAGAAAAATGAGTGTAAGAAACGGGGAAAAAAAATGGGTGCGATCTCACGCACATGAAGCGCACCAACAGGGAAAACTCAGATTAAACCCAAGTGAAGTTCTATTTCAAAACTAATTGGTGGAAGGAGGAATAATTCATTAGACTTATAAATTAGGTTTATTTTGCAAGGGTATATTCCAAAAATAACCAGGAAATATATAAAATTGGAATCCCTTCAAACCCCAAGTGACCCCACACCACCGGCCGTCTACTAAAGAAAGCAAAACAGTGCGAAAATTCTCTTTCGATGCCTCTTTAATAAAACACCAAATACAGGGGGATTTTATTTTTATCACACAAAATGCTGCTAGCCACCTGAAAAAATGACCGTTCGCCACCGTCTCCTCCCAATCCTCGCCGCATTCTCTCTCCTCCCAATCCTCGCCGGCTCAATCGAACTCATCACCGGAACCCAATTCCTCACCGTTGACCAGACCCTGGTCTCCGCCGGCCAGGAGTTCGAACTCGGGTTCTTCCCCTCCGCCCGGTCGAACGGAACCCGGTACGTCGGAATCTGGTACAAGAAAATCCCCGAAAGAACCGTCGTCTGGGTCGCTAACCGGGACGCCCCCCTCCGGAACTCATCGGGGACTCTGAGAATCGATGCCGGCGGCAATCTGGCCCTCCTCGACGGGGAACGGTCAATCTGGTCAACGGATTACCCGGGTCGGGCCGCGGACGCCGTCGCTGAGCTTCTCGACACCGGAAACCTCGTCCTCCGCCGCCGCTCTGCTCCGGCGGGCGACTACCTGTGGCAGAGCTTCGACCACCCAACCGACACGCTGTTGCCCGGGATGAAACTGGGCTGGGACGCCAAATCGGGCCTCAACCGCAACATCACCTCGTGGAAAGCCGCCGACGACCCGTCGACCGGCGACTACACCTTCTGGCTCAACAACAGCGGGTTCCCAGAGATCTTCCTCTCGGACGGTCGGTCCGTGGTCTACCGGAGCGGGCCGTGGAACGGGCTGAGGTTCAGCGGCGTCCCCGAGATGAACGCCAGCCCGCTGTTCTCCTTCGTGTTCGTCGCCGGGCCGGAGGAGGTGTACTACACGTTCCGGCTGAACGAGAGGTCCGTCTACTCGCGGCTGGTCGTCAGCCACGTGGGGGCCATCCGGCGGTACACGTGGGCCCCGTCGATCGGGCTCCGGTGGAACCTGTTCTGGTACGCGCCCAAGGACCAGTGCGACGGCTACAGGGCGTGCGGGGCCCACGGGATCTGTGACGCGAGCGCGTCGCCGGTGTGCCGGTGCCTGACGGATTTCCGGCCGAAGGACGAGCTGGCGTGGGGGCTGAGGGACGGGTCGGGCGGGTGCGTGAGGGAGATCGAGCTGGACTGCCGGTCGGACGGGTTCGCGAGGATGAGGATCGTGAAGCTGCCGGAGAGCGGGGCGGCGGTGGTGGACCGGGCGGCGGGGCTGGACCACTGCCGGGATATGTGCCATGGGAACTGCAAGTGCAGGGGGTACGCGAGCGCCAACATCAGCGGCGGCGGAGAGGGGAGCGGCTGCGTGATGTGGGCGGGGGATCTGTACGACATGCGGCAGTACGCGGCGGCGGAGGGCGGACAGGATTTCTACTTGAGGGTGCCCGCCGCTGATTTAGGTATGTGTGAAATTTGGAGATAAAAAGTCGGGTAATTTTATTTTATTTTATTTTTTGTTTTGATTTTAATTTGGGGCTGATTTTTTGTGTGCTATAGTTGATTTTTTGTAGATTTGGTTAATTGAATGAGGAATAATGACTTGGAAGTTGGAAGTCTGTGTAAACTTTTTGAAAAGTTAATTTAGGGTATTACATAGGTCGGAGGAGCTTTTTGTAGAATGCATTTAGATTCAATAATAGTGTAAATAATTAAGACAAAAAAAAAATAGTGTAAATAATATAATTTTCAACAAATTTACGGATTATTAAGTAGAAATTTCATGAGTTGATGAAAAACATTGATAAAAGGATGACATTTCAAATTCTAAGTATAGATTTTTGATAAAAAAGATATGACGAGTCGATCTTTCTAACAGTTAGACTACTTCATATACTTCATATTAAAAAATTTGTCTAACTCTAGGTCATATTTGATTAGGATGTACATATAACTTGTAAGATCCTTTTAACAATGCCATAGGAGAAATATACATTTAGGCTACCTAGACACATTGACATTGCTTTAAATGGTTCGGTTTTAGAAGTTGTTTACAACTCGAAATCGAAGTAATGAGTGATAATTAATGAGCGCTAACTTTTTCTAGGGTTATTGCGTATGTCGTATTTATGATACCGCTAGGTGATTTTCATGAATTAATTTACACTGAAATGGTAATACACCTTATGGTTTCAGTCATATTTTTATTTATGTTATTTTTAAAAGTATGACATTTCATTTTAAACTTATGTATATGTGTTGAAAAAATACTAAAACTGTCTAACAACAAGGGTTAAATGGTCATTCCATCATTTCCTCATTGCTATTTTTTCTTTTAATTTGGGGTATGGTCCATAGTTTTATGCTACATGTGAAAGTGAAATTGAACATCAAACAAACGCATGACAGCTAAAGAACAGTGGTTGAAAGACTTAAATGGACTTGAAAATAATCAAGACAGTTAGGCGTGTGTTTGGTAGAGAAAGTAATATTGTAATTCTCTAGTCTATATTATAGTTCGTGAGAAGCATGGAATTTTTAACATTATTCTACAAAGAACAAATCATAAACAGCTTATAAGTCAAATGGACCGACCGTTTTTTGTTAGATAATTATTAATCAAATGCGATTTAGATGGACTTTATGGATCCGTACTTTAAGCTGTAAAGCACGTAAATGAGTTGAAATATCTGCTCGTGAATCTTAGTAATTCACCCACTAATTAAAACACAGTTGTCCTCGTTTAGGCTCAGTAGCTGATTATTTATCTGTACATATCTTTGTTGAGTTTCTTAAAATATATGCATAGTTATATTACGAAATATTATATTTTTGTTTATATTGTATTAGATATAGGAATCAATCTCTGTATCTTTTTATTTACATTGTATTTTTTGCCAGTTTTTTAGTTGTTTCTCGGTAGTTCTTAGTCATCTTCTATGGACAAAAATAAAAGTAAATACGACCTAACTGCCAACCTCATTGACCTTATTGGCCCCTTTTTATTATTACTTTCCAATTCTGTTTACCGAATTTCAAAAAAGCTTTTCTTTGTTTGCACTTTTTCATGCCATGTTTTTCCAACTTAATAATGTTAATGAGATTCGCGTTCAATCATGGTGCATTCCTTATCTTGTATCTTCAGTTTGAATTACAACATCTGTTGGAGGCCCTTTTGAAAACAAAAATC